CACTTAACAACAACAACAACAGATACATAGATATATAGTTCTATAGCTATATAGATATATGTTGTCATTGTTGTTATGTGCCGTGGAGTTGGTTCCAACTCATAGTGACCCTGTACAGGGTTTCTGAGGCTGTAAATCTTTACGGGAGCAGAAAACCTCATCTTTCTCCCACTGAACAGCTGGTAGTTTCAAACTGCTGACCATGAGATTAGCAGCCCGATTCGTAACCACTACGCTACTAGAGCTCCTTATATAGATATATAGGTATATAGATATACAGATAGCTATCTCCCTCTCTCATGGTTCTGTTTCTATAGGGAACCCTAACAAAGACATCCACTTTCATAAAATTCAAATACTTGCATCCTTATCTGCTGATGGTCCCTCCCTCCAGGCAAGCACGGTGGTAGTGGTTGGTGTGACCACCACTGTTTCTCACAGGTGAGCCTCCGGTGTGTGTTGAGTAAATACAGGTTGTATCAGAGCATCTTCCAGACTTCCAGCCTGCGGGAGCAGAGTCTGGGAGCTGGGATAGGAGGGCCATCCGGAGACTGCTCTGTGCCCACCCGCTCATTAAACAGAGAGAGGGATCTACCCAGGTCCTTGAGCCCAAGGGGAGCTGGCCACTACGGCTCTTTGTTTCCTGGTACTGAAACCAGGAAGGCTCTTCCCTGGTGTGGTTTCTGTCTTTTGTTGTTGTTGTTGTTGTTGTTGTTATGTGCCGTGGAGTCGGAACCGACTCATAGCGACCCTGTACAGGGTTTCCGAGGGTGTAAATCTTTACGGGAGTAGAAAGCCTCATAAATGCATGTCTGTGGGACAGTGTTTTGTGGCTCTATCTTCTCAAGGAGCCCCTGAGCCCCTGCAGAATGCACACAGGACCCAGTGGGATTAGATCATCAACCTCTATTTTATGCCACCATTCCAGGAGGATGGCTACATTGACTTAGTGACCAAAAGAGAGGAGACTCCATGGGTGTGATTCAGACCAGAGCTCGCAGACCCTACCCTTACCGTCCATATTCGTGTCCAAGCCCTGCTGGCCTGAGAACGTGTCTTCGGTCATCTTCCAGGTCTCTGTGCGGATGCCCAGCTCCCGGGACAGAGTGGCAGCCACAGTCATCCCTGCAGAGTGTTAGAAATGCCATTTGGTAACCACTGAGCCTGTATCTCCCTGCCATCTCAAGAGGGAGGCTATTTATTTTATTCTTATTATACATTTTATTCTTATTAAACACAAAGGTGTTTCTTATCTTTCTTTTTATTGTGACTGAGTAAAGGTTTACAATCAGTTTTCCATCCAGTAATTTATACGTGTTTGTTTCATGTCATTGATTGCAATCCCCATAATGTATCCTACTTCCTCTTTGTGATTCCCATTTCCATTCCTCCTTCTTTCCTAAGCCCTCTGAACTTTGTCCTTGAGTAAAAGCTTCCTGTGATAGTTAAGGCTTGGTGTGAGTTTGACTGAGCCAGAAGTCTCAGTGGTTTGGCAGTTAAGCTTCTCCATGATGAGATCTAATATAATGTCATCAGCTCGGTGATGAGGTCCACTACAAGAAGCCAGTCAATTGGAGGGAAGCTTCCTTAGGTAGATGGCCTGCTTCCAATATACTGGACATGTTTGCCCTCTGCTGGGTCTAGAACTTGCATCTGGCTCATCCTCTGACCTCTGATTCTTTGGACTTGAGCCAGTGGCCTGCTTTATTACCTGCTGATCTTGGGAGTCATAGGCAATCTGCATTCTTACCTGCCAGACCTGCTGGACCTGCCTGCATGCATGCTGTCTGACCTATCTATTTTGGTTCATCAGCCTTGCAGCTACGTGAGTCAGAAGCCTCCAACCTGACATCTAGCCCACAGACTTGGGACTGACCATTTCTCAAACAGTGTGAGTCATTTCCTTGATATCAAACTCTCTTTATATATACATATATAAGTGTCACTGACTTTGTTTCTCAAGTGCCTAAAAACACTAGTTTAAACACCGCCCTTTGCTTACTCTAAGGTGTGTGTATCTCCCTAGTGTTACTGTTTCCCTTATAGACCTGTCTATTGTTGGTTGAAAACTGAGTCATGAGGTGAGTTAACTTCCAGAACTAAAGGGTGACTAAGCATCACAGTCTAGGGGAGTCTTCCTGACCTGTAAGCCTGTTTTTTTGTTTGTTTGTTTTTATGATTTTGAGTTTTGTCCCACATTCCACTCCTCCTTCCACCACCACCACCACCACACACACACACACACTCTATCCAGGACTTTTTAATGTGATTATTTTCAGAGCAGTTGGTAGTGGTGGTCGGGCACCATCTAGTTCTTCTGGTCTCAGAGTTATGGACATTATATTCATGGGGCCTGTGAGCCATAGAAGAAACACTTGACCTCAAGGTCGGCTTGATCCTCAGAGTCAGTGGTTCAAACTTACTAGCCAAACCTTGGAAACCCTATACAGGGTTACTATGAGATGGAACCAACTCGACACGACGTAACAACAACATTAGTTCATTAGACTAGTCATTTCCCTGTGTCTTTAATTTCTTTGCTATTCTTTGCTCCAAGGAGCTCTGGTAACATAGTGGATTATGAGATGGGCTGCTAACCACAAGGCAGGCAGTTTGAATCTACCAGCTGCTCTGTGGGAGAAACATGAAGCTTTCTGCTCCTGTGAAGATTTACAGTCTCGGAAACCCTATACAGGGTCTCTATGAGTTGGAACCAACTCCATGGCACACAACCACCAACCACCATTCTTTGCTCCAGACAAGCAGAGACTGATAACTGTACCTTAGATGGCCATTCACAAACTATTAAGACCCCAGTTTCTACTAGCAAAGTAGGATGTAGAACATTGTCTTTGGGGGCTATGTTATGCCAATGGACCTTGGTGTCAAGAAGGGGGTTACTGTAGTATTGTTGTTGGTTAATGTTGAATTAACTCTGAGTCATGGTGAGCAGTATGTGCAGAGAAGAGCTACTACTCCACAGGCTTTTCAAGTAGATTTCCAGGTTTGTCTTCTAAGGCATCTTTGGGTGGATCCAAACCACCACCCTTTCATCTAGTAGTCAAGTACTTGCTGCTTTTGCCACCCAGGGACTAATTATTATGGGATAAAGATGGTGGCTTTTCTCAGTGGGCACTTGAAGCAGTACTAGCAGGACAGAATAAAACCCCGTTACCCTATCCTGTTCACTGTGGTGTGTCCACTTGGAATAGATCCAGGCAAGTTTAATCTTTGCAAACCAAGAATCTTCCTTAAAAAGAGTGGACCCTACTTTCCCATGTGTAGTAAAGATTGCCAACACCCCTCTGCCTCCGGGGAGACTGGGTGCTGTTTCCATTCAGTGGTACCTATGTTGTAATGAATTATTTACTATATCTTTTCTGGCTTTAGTCTTTGCAACTCCCACCAAACGACTCTTTTCCTGATAGGTCTGGGTGAGAGAAAGTGGGAGAAGATAATGATAAGGTAACATGGTTTAGCTGTGGAGATTAACAGAGTTGAGTGTAATTGTAAAAAGTTGAAACTCTAGGATGGGTATAAAATGAGCCATTTCAGAAGTGGGGGTCTTACGCCCACCAGAGAAGAGCCAGGAGTGAAGTGTGTCCATTGGACCTAGAGATCCCCATGCATTGAACCCCCTCCACCCAGGGACAAAAAGCTGTGACGTCAGAGGATAGGTAGAAGATTCCAGCCAAGAAAACTTTACAGGGCAGTTCTACTCTGTAAGAAGTGGTGTCTGTAAATCTAAATAGACTCAGCAATGTACGACAATGACAACAAGCAGGATGACATGGTGTGTGGGGACAAAGAATAATTCAGGTCTAGGAGTCAGGATGCTTGTGTAACCTCGTTAGATCTTCTTTGAGCCTCATATTCTGAATAAGAACAGCAAAAGACTAGACATGACAGGTGCTAAGAGGCCTTGGGTAATGCATGCAGTGAATGTGCTTGGCTGCTAACTGAATGGTTGGCGGTTCATTGGAGTCCACGCAAAGGTGACCCCACGGACACAGTTCTGCTGACACAGATGGCATTGCCGTGAGTTAGAGTCAGCATGGCAGCTATTGGTTTAACTTAATGCACATCTTTTCTGGAGTTTCCAGAATCTTCAGCCATCTCCCTCTCCCCTGACCTGATTCTACCAAATCTTTAGTGATTTATGGAATATGCAAGAAGGCTGAGAGACTAATGACCATAAAATCATCTCACAAGAAATAGCTGTATTCTTCTTTTCTCTTCTCCCTTTTCCTCTCCCTCTTCCTCCTCCCCTCTCCCTCCTCCTCCTGTTCTCCTCCCTTCTCTTGCCTTTACTCTGCTCTCCCTCATCCTCTTTTACCTCCCTTCTCTCTTCTCCCTTTTCTTCCCTCCTTCCTCCCCTCCTCCTTCTTCTCTTCTCTTATCCCGCCTCCTTCTTTCTCTTCTCTGCCTTATTTAGTTCTTCCAACTCCTGCTTCTCTCACAGAGAGTGAATCTTCAGAAGAAGCCGTGGTTGCCATGCCTGCTAAACTCCAGCCACTGCTCGCAGGCTGAGGGGCCATGTGCCAGGAGGAACAGGAAGGAGTCAGTTGTCACGGGGCTGCAGCCCCCTCAGTGATGATTCTTACCATATTGAGACATGGACGTGGACCTGGTGTTAAATCTGGGACAGCCAGGACGCTTGAGAAATGCATTTCGCAATTCTTCCACTTGGGATGCAAAGCCACTGTTGCTAGATTTGTAGACATCCTTGTCTTCACTCTGGCAAAGGATAAAGAAGAGAGTCACTCAGAAGAGAGAATCTGGAGTCCCTTCCCATCAGAGGGTTTAAAAGACCCTGCTATGTGGGTCTGTCCCCTCTCCCAGCACACAGGAGCGTTTAGTGAATCAATGAGGACCCTGCTTGGGAAACTCTTGTTTGTTAAGGGCAGGACAGCATATCCATTCAGAAAGTCCTGAGGGGCCCCCCTGTGAACTTCCTGAGATTCCCTCAATGCACTGTGGGTGCATTTAGCCTGAGATCTTTCCTTTTCTCTCAACTTCTCCCTCCTCCTGAAGACTACTCCTAAGGAAGTTTCAGGTCAATCTGTGTCTTCTTCCCAGGGCTCTGGATCTAGACACTTGCTGCAGAACCAGAGAAATCTAATAGAAGTCTGCCCAGGAAGAAGCAGTCCAGAGCAGCTAATTCTCCAGATGTTGTTGCTAAGCGCCCTCCCTCCAGTCGATTCTGACTCATAGCAACCATGTATATGGTTTCTGAGGCTGTAAGTCTTTGCAGGAGCAGAAAGCCTCATATTTCTCCTGTGGAGATGCTGATGGGATCAAACTGCTGACCTTGTGGTTAGCAGTCCAGTGTTTATCCTATAGAACCATGGTGCTCTCAAATTCTCCACTTGCTGTTGTTGTTGTTAAGTGCCTTCAAGTTGGTCCTGACTCATAGTGACCTTGTATAGAGTTTCTGAAGAGCTGCTGGTGGGTTTGAACTGCTCAACTTTCAGTTAGCAGTCCAGTGTTTATCTTAAAGTACCACACCCCAGAAAGCAGGGAACTGAGGCTCCAGTGCTCCCAGAAAATAGGAGCTTGGGTAAGAATGGGAGGGGTCTGCATCACTAATACCATTCCATTCTTGGAATTTTGTGTGGAACAGTCTACCCATCAGCAAATGAAGGTCCTGAAATCTTTGCTCCATTCACGTCATTGGTCAACTCAACTTTGAGGAGGCAGCTCTTTCCAGTCGTATTTTGAGTGCCTTCCAACCTAAGAGGCTCATCATCAGGCACTATATGTGACAATGTTCTACTGTTATTCATAAGGTTTTTGGTGGCTAACCAATCTTTTGATTGACAAGACCTATTTGGGGTTGTGGGTGGGAGAAACATGAGGATTTCTGCTCCCACAAAAATTTACAGCCTCATTCATAATGAGGAGGAATCAACTCAATGGTACTCAGCAATAAGAATATGGGCTGATACCATAGCCTATCAATTTGTTCTACGGTGTGCTGCTGGAAACTATGCCACCAGCATTTTAATTACCACCAGGGACTCCCAGAGTCCTGGTAGTGTAGTCAATTATAAGCTGTGCTGCTAACTACAAGGTCAGCAGTTCAAATCTACCAGTAACTCCACGGGAGAAAGATTAACAGCTTTACACTCCTGTGAAGCTTTACAGCCTCAGAAACCTATACAAGGTTGATATGAGTCTGAACTGACTGGACAGCACATAACCACCAGGGGCACCCATGGTGGACAGGCTTCAGTGGAACTTAAGACTAAAAGAGTCTAGGAAGAAGGAGAGGCAGACCACTCCTGAATGGTTAGCCACTGAAAATCTTATAAATAACAACAGAATATGGTGACATATAGTGCCTGATGATGAGCCTCTTAGGTTGGAAGGCACTCAAAATACGACTGGAAAGAGCTGCCTCCTCAAAGTTGAGTTGACCAATGACGTGAATGGAGCAAAGATTTCAGGACCTTCATTTACTTATGGGGTGCAAATTAAAATGAGAAACAGCTGCAAGCATCCAGTAATCATCCGAACATGGAATGTACAAAGTATGAATCTAGAAAAATTGGAAGTTGTCAAATTTCAGCTCAACCACGAAAGCCAAGCGATGAAGAATTCTACCATCTTCATTAACTGGAAACTGATTAAACATACAATTAGGATGTGTTGATAATTGCTGGTGATTGGAGTGTGAAAGTTGGAAACAAAGAGGAAGGATTGGTAGTTGGAAAATATGGCATTGGTGATAGAAATGATGCTGAAAATTGTGTGACAGAATTTTGCAAGACCAGTGTATTATTCATTGCAAAAAAAAAAATGTTTTTCAACAACATAGACAGTGACTATACATGAAGACCTCACCAAATGAAATACACAGGAATCAAACTGACTTCATCTGAGGGAAGATACTCCATATCATCAGCCGAAAGAGGCCAGGGGCGGATGTGGAGCAGCCCATCAATTGCTCACATGTAAATTCAGGTTGGAGCTGAAGAAAATGAAAAAAGCCCAGGAGAGCCAAAATATGACCTTGAGCATTACCCACCTGAATTTAGAGACCATCTCAAGAACGGATTTGATGCATTAGACACTAATGCATCCAATTAGTGTTTAATTTGAGGATTCATGGGATGACATCCAAGAACATCACAGGTGATGAAAGCAAAAGGTCATTAAAAAGGTGGAAAGAAAAATAATAAAAACAAAACACCAATATTGGTGTCCAAAAAAACTCTGAAACTTGCTCTTGAATATAGAGACGCTAAAGTGACTAGAAGAAATAATTAAGTAAAAGAACTGGATGGAAAATTTCAAAGGATACCTCAAGAAGACAAAATGAAGTACTATAGTAAAATGTGCAAAGACCTGAAGTTAGAAAACCAAAAGGGTTGAAGAAGCTGAAAGAACTGAAGAAAAATTCAAGCCTCCAGTAGCAATATTGAAAGATTCCACAGGCAAAGAAAATAGAAGCGATACACTGAGTCAGTGTGCCAAAAAGAATGGGTTGATATTCAACCATTTGAAAAGGTAACATACAAAACAATGGTACTGAAGGAAGACGTCTAAGCTGCACTGAAGGCATTAGCCAAGGACAAGGTTCTAGGAATT